CCTCCACACACACACATGCGCGCGCGCGCACACACACACACACACACACACACACACACACACACACACACACACACACACACACAAACACACGCACCCGCCGCCGCCGCTGCCGCACCCTCCTGCAGCCGCCCGCTGCCTGGCTGCGCGCTGCCCTGCGCCAGGGGTGGGTAGTGGATCACCCTGGCCACCCAGTAGGACCGCTCCGGCGCCGCCAGTCCACCGCCGAACGCGCTTTCGGGCAGTCCGAGGCCGAGGGCGATGCCTCGGAGCTGCGCGGCGCCCAAGGTTAGGCAGCCGTTGATGTATGATCCGAGGGCGGCCTCGAAAGCCGGCGGCTGGGAGGGCCACAGGTTGGGGCCGTGGATGGGGCTGAGGGGCAGGCCCCGCGCCTGAGTGGGAGGGGGGAGAGCGGCGACCGTGGCGGAGTGGATGAGGGGACAGGGGTGGCTGGTGGGGCATACGTTGAGCAGTCTCCTGCACGAAGAATGCGAGCGGACCGCTGGGGAGCAGGCTGGTTGGTGGTGCCGGCGCGACCCCGCCCCAAAATGGCGGATGAGGGTGCTCCTGAGGGTGCATCATCTGCGTCTCCAACAGGCAGATGGGGTGGGCGGCGGATGTGATGTTTGTGACATCAGCAGCGCTGCCACCGTGTGCCCCGACCCCACCCACCTCGACCTCAGCCGGGTCCTCCTCTTTGAACAGGTCGATGGCCTTACAGCAAAAAGGGGGCGGGCATTGTGGATGGGGGATGGGAGCGCGATGGGTTTTGATGCACAAGATGCTGTGTGCATGAAGAAATGGCAGGCATTGTGGGCATGTGAGGGGTGCACAGGGTGTTGGCAAGAGGGCGGCGATGTGGGACTCAACACGTTGAAAACATCGGGGCGGGGCAGAGGGGAGAGAGAAGAGGTGGCGGCAGGCGTGAGGCATGCTAAAGCGGGGAGGAGACGGAGCATTGGGACAGCCAGTGACCGCCTGCGCTGGCGCTGCGACCCAACCGGCAACCGTGAGTGAGTTTGGCTCACACCAAGCTGAGATGGACGACTCAAAAGGCGCCCATGGTCTGAAATACAATCCAGTGGATGAGCACCCACACAAGCAAGTACTCGGCCTACGAACAGGCAGGAAAGACAGCGTAATGCCCCCCAAACCTCGTGCCAGTCGCGCGTGAACCCGCCACCAGGCAGTCGTGTCACGTTGCGTGGCCCCCAGAGGCTGGTAGCCTCGGTAGCTCGTGGCCGTGCCCCGCGGCTGGATGGCGCGCTTAGAGAAATCCTGGGGCCGGGGCGGGGTGGAGAGTCGAGCAAGCATGGGGTTGCGGCAGGCAGCGCGGCAGGGATGCAGTTTGGCTGGGGCTAGCTGGACAGGACGCGCGAGGACGAAGGCGACGTTATTGGCCTGTGCACATGCGGTGGCGCGTCGCAGATAGAGCGATGCTCCGCGTGTCACGCGCGGGCGACGCGCAAGCGGGTCGCTGCGTTTGGGTACGAGGGGGGCGCCGGTGTGGGGCCGTCTCAGTGTCGCCTGTTGAGACCAGGCGGCGCGCGCGTTGTCCGGCTGCACCACGCGGCGCACCGGATGGCCGAACCGCTGCCGCGCCTCCTGCAAAACACCCTCGTAGACAGCGGCGGGCATGCCTTGGCGTTGTGAACATGCGCGGCCACAGCACGGCGTGCACGTGTGAGACAGCTAGCGCCAAGGTAAAGTTCACCAAGGGAGGGTGGGGAGGGCGCAGCAGACTGCCACACGAGAGCCGCGCCGGGTGCTGCAGCTTGGTACCCTGCACGCCACCAGCCCCGCCGGGAACAAGCGCAAGCGTCGCCAGGGGCAGCTGGCGGCGCTCCCATCCGCCGGCGCAGGGCAATGCTGGTGCCCCGGCGCCTGGAAGCCGCCTGGAAGCCGCCCGGAAGCCGCGGGGCCTCACCGTGGTTCCTGATGAGGAAGAATCCGACGTCCCTGCAGGCCGCATGCAGCTCTCGCGCGCAGCGCGCCTTTGCAGCGTCACCCTGGGGGAGGGGGTGTAGAATGTGCAGGGGTTGTGGGGGATGCGTGGGCGCGCAGGCGTTTGGTGGGTGGGGCCAGCATGACCGGCGCAGTGCCATGACGAGCGGTTGTATGTCAGGACAGTTCACATACCGCCTCGCGCCTGTGGGCCAATGCGTCTGCTGTTTTCTGACCACTGCCCCCACAATTATTCGGCTGCCTTACACAATCGGCTGGCCCTACTGCGGTGCGTCCGGTGGCAGTCTTAGCGCCTCACCAGGCTGGGGTTAATCAGGGGCGCCACGTCGATCACGGGGAGGGACGTGAAGCGATGTAGCTGCTGTTGCTTCTGTCGACAATGTTGGTGCTGGGGCGGGGGCTGGGCCTGGCTGCCGACAAACGCTCGCGCAGCAAGCACCATGAGGCAGCAGAGGGGGCGGCCACATTACCTACAAAACTGTGCAAGTGTTACATAATGCTACGTTCACGAGTGTTGCGAGCGCTGGTTTGATGAAGAAAACAAAGCCGTTCCGACAAGACAAGGCAGGCAAGATGCATTGTACAGCACTCACAACACATGGCAGTCCAGGGTTGAGCAGGGTCACAAAGAGTCACACAACACAAAGCAACGCAAGGCGGGGCGGGCAACGGCAGCGTCAACTAACAGCAGGACCCGCGCCGGCGTGGTGATTTCCAATGTCGACCAGGAAACACAGGCCTGGTGGGCCTGTCAGCTTGGACCATAGAATCGCTTTGACTGATCAAAATATGAGTGCAAAGCGGACGCAGGTGCAATGCCGCTGCCCGGAGTGCTTCGTCACGAAGGGGTGCAAGTGAAGGGCATAACAGAGATGGGTAGGTTTTGGTTCCGACGATAACGGGGGCGGGAGCATTGGCTGTTAAAGCAGCGCCGCCCGGACCAGCTCTGATTTGCAAACAACAGGCTGGAAACTGCTTAGCAGTTGTTGTGGTAGTGCCTGCGGCTGTTTGGGACCCGGCCATTTGACTGCGGCGCCTGGGGCTGCTGGTGCTGCATGTGCGCCGCCGCCGCCGCCGTCGCCGCGAGCGGCGCGGCATACAGGATGTGGGGTGCGGGGAAGTGCACGAAACCGCCGGGGTACCCGGGAAACATAACAGGGTATGGCACGGGGGCGCCCGGGAAGGCGACGTATGCCAGCGAAGGGTAGCCCGCGGGCGGCGCCAGTAGGGGCTGGGAGTAGTAGGCGGCCGGATAGCCTGGGGCGAGGGGCACGCCCGCGGCCATTGGCAGGGACCACGGCGATCCGTTGGAAGGTTAGGAATGAGGAGGTCCGCTCTAATGAGCGCGAGACCGATGGCAGTGATGCTATGGTATGAGTAACTTATCTATCTATCTATCACGGCGGCAGGGACCGCGCGGGCGGCGCGGTGCGGCGGACTGCTGCTGCTGCTGCTGCTGCTGCTGCTGCTGCTGCTGCTGCTGCTGCAGGGGTGCGGCCAGCTGCTGAGGCAGCACCGCTGCCACCGCTGTCGCTGAAGGCGCTGCTGCTGTTGCCCGATCTTGAGCTGGTGCAGCCACCTGCGTGCGACCGCTGTTGCTGTTGCGGCTGCTGCTGCTGCTGCTGCTGCTGCTGCTGCTGCAGCTGCAGCTGCAGCTGCGACAGCCGCTGTATCAGCTGCTGCTGCTGCTGCTGCCGCTGCGGCGGCTGCTGCGGCTGCGACGGCTGCTGCTGCTGCGGCGGCTCCTGCGGCTGTGGCTGCAGAGGTCGCGGCGCCTGCTGCGACGTGAGGGGCACCGACTGCATCTGAGCTGTCACTAGGCGGCTGCCGCTGGTGCCAGGGTCCTGCTCAGAAGCGCTGACAGCTGCTGCGACTCTGGCTGAGCGCCCGGGGGACACATCTGACGGAAGGTTGAGGGAGGGCCCAGCAGTGGGCGGCGCGGAGTGCTGCAGGAGTCCGCTGTAGCTGCTGCTGGCGCTGCCGTCAGCGGCGCTGGATCCGCAGCCACTGGTTATGATGGTGGCGCCGCCGGAGCTGCTGTGCTCACTGCCGCGGGTGCTGCTGCTGGCCCCACTTGCCGTGGTTGCGTCGCGCGGCGCGCAGCCTGTGCTGATCGCGGGTGTGTGAGGGCCCTGGTGGCCGCACGCGGCACTGGAGGCCGCTGCGCTTGGCGCGGCTGTGGGCGGAGGCGGAATGATTGGCAGCTCTGAGAGCTTGCGGCATCATGGTGGCGGTGACGATCGCGCATTGTGAGGATCAGAAGGCCGCTACTATGATCTCGATTCAAAATGGACAGCACAGGCCTGGCCGACATGATGTGTAGGGTTGGGCTCGTGAACTCACGGTGTGCGCCAGTGCACCAAGGGGCACCTGTTAAATCGGTCCTGCAAACTGCTCAATCGCCACAGCGCCTCGAACACCTCGATACATCACGCAACTCAAGGGGCCACTACAGCCGTTCAAGGCCTGCATGCCGCCGCTGCCACAGGCCTGCTGCAGCTTGAGCGACCCGTGCCCCACCTGCGGCATGCTTGTGAACCACGCGCGCCGGGCAATAACGCAGCTGTTGTCCTCGCCGGGCCCCGTCTGGAGGACGTAGTGCTGTGCCATCTTGTGCATTAGCATCCGCTGATCGTGGCAGGGTTGAGGGCGGAAATGGAAGTCAAACGACCTGTAAGGCTGCAGGTGATTGCCAACATGCGAAGCCGTGAGGGCTCGCGCTCCATCCGATACTGGTGCGCCCGCACGCTTGTGTTCGCGGCACTGCCTGGGTCGCTCACGCGCTTGTTGGAGTCCTCCCTGGGGAACTCTAGGGTCTCCTTGTCGCTGGCTACAAAATCCTCCACCAGGGCCACGTACTTCAGCACTGAAGTGTGCGAGTGTATGTATGCATGTGTATCAATGAGGAGAGGGTAACAGTGAAGCACCAAAGCCAATGCCATGCCAAGGCGCTGGGCGGGCGGCAGTGAAGGTCTCCCAACAGCGAGGGCCACCAGCGGGTTCACGCGCAAAGGGGACCGTGGCCACGTCACCCGGTGACTGGCGGAGGGGGATCTCACCGTCGACCAGCTGCGCGCTGCTCCTCATGGCGGTCCGCAGGGCGATGTCGACTGTTGCGAGCGACTCGCGGCTGCAGAGCGCGAGAGGGTCGCTGCATGCAGCAGCGTCGGCTGCTGGGGACCCTTCGCCCGATGCGCCCAGGTGGGGCACCATGCAGCGCTCCTCATCGCAGGACCCGCTCATGCTGTTCAGCACACAGAGGTCGACGGTCGCACGATACCAGAGGTGGCTGGGAAGGTGGTCCTCATCTGATCCCCTCGGCAAAGGTTGAGTCGCAGAAGCACAATAACCACAATGTTTCAAGACACCGCGCAAGTCGCCCACACGGCCAGCCAACAGCCATGCATGCCAACACCGTCGGATCGAACTCGTGTGGTACAAGGAAAAACGAGTGGTATTTGGACGTGCGATCGGCCGTCGCAGCTTTCTCGACCAGCTTGCTTGTCGGGGTAACGTTGGTGGGGCGATTATCTCCGAGCTGGTGATGATCCTTATGGGCACGTAGCGGCAGGCTCACGTGATACCATTTTTTTGTGGTAAAAGCTCCATTGTCGAAAGGCAGGCAGCGCGTGGTCGCCCGCTCCGGCAGCAGTTCAAACGGTAGTTGGCGGGCCAAGCTCGGGCTCGTGGGACGGCGACAACCGGGGCCATTGCAAGTTTTGCATTGTCTAGAAGCTTCAAAGGACTCAACGAACGACGCCAGAGGTGCAGGCCAGTTTTGCATGCGGTGCTAGTGTCATGCTTGTCGTTGAAAGGGCTGCGCACGGATCCGGACGAGTGTTGAAGTAGACCTAGGGATTGATCAATGTCCGCGCGGGTCCCCAGGGCCGGAGGAGGCGAACTCAAGGCGTGCACAATGCGTGCTGGGTCGCCGCAGCAGTGCGAGTGGCGAGGCGCCGAGCTGCTAAACGCTGCAGAGGCCGAAGAAGACGCGCTGGCGCTGCCGTGGCACCTCATGCATGGACCTAGCAACCCTGTACCAGACGCGGGGCATTTAAGAAGTACAAGCCACCGGTGAGCGGTGCTGGCGTCACCCCGTCGACCTGATGCGTGCGCGTGATCTGGCCTCACGCATGCGGCGACAAGCGGCGCGCATGGGCGCGCAGAGGGGCGCGCCTGTGGCAAACCTGCGGCCAGGCACAGCCAATCGCCCCCGCGTGCACTGGACAGTGCGCTGCGCCGCGCCCAAGGCCTCGGGGCGTGCAGCTTCCACCCTGGTTCCAGCCTTCTTCCATTCTCGTGCCCCGGCAGCTGGCCGTCTGCACCCCGCTTCCCTGAGGCCCCCGCCGCA